ATTAATATTATTTATTAAAATACGAATTGGCCCTCGAAAGGTTTTGAGTTTGAAACCAATGGTGTAAGACTTACACTTTTGGTGGTTTTGGGCCAAAAATTAGATTTTGCTGAAAATCACAGTATGGGTACTCCTGAGCTTGCTGCTTATGAATATGTGGTCCACGATTCGATTGCAGAGACATTAGTGGCCAAAATGACTCTTGAAAGAATTTACTGACATTTTTCAATGCTAATTACTCATCAACTACGGGTTTCCAAGGTGTGATTCATGATTTGTTTGTTATTCTGAAAGAACTTAATTAGTTAAACCCCTTAAATTTAAATTCTGAGAAAAAAGTATATTTTGGTCAAAAATTTTGTAAGGTATAAGACTTACATTTTTGGTGCTTTTTGGCCAAAAATTAGATTTTGCTGAAAATCACAGTATGGGTACTCTTGAGCTTGCTGCTTATGAATATGTGGTCCACGAATCGATTGCAGAGTAATTAGTGGCCAAAATTACCCTTGAAAAATTTTACTGACATTTTTCAATGCTAATTACTCATCAACTACGGGTTTCCAAGGTGTGATTCACAGTGTGTGTGTTAATCTGAAAGTACTTAATTAGTTAAACCCCTTAAATTTCAATTCTGAGAAAAAAGTATATTATGGTCAAAAATTTTGTAAGGTAAAAGGCTTACATTTTTGGCCAAAAACTAGATTTTGCTGAAAATCACAGTATTTGTACTCTTGAGCTTGCTACTTATAAATATGTGGTCCACGATTCGATTGGAGAGAAATTAGTGGCTAAAATGACCCTTGAAAGATTTTACTGACATTTTTCAATGCTAATTACTCATCAACTATGGGTTTCCAAGGTGTGATTTAGGGTTTGTGTGTTATTCTGAAAGTACTTAATTAGTTAAACCCCTTAAATTTCAATTCTGAGAAAAAAGGATATTTTGGTCAATAATTTTGTAAGGCATAAGACTTACAATTTTGGTGGTTTTTGGCCAAAAATTCGATTTTGCTGAAAATCACATTATGGGTACTCCTGAGCTTGCTGATTATTCATATGTGGTCCACGATTCGATTGCAGAAAAATTAGTGGCCAAAATGACCCTTGAAAGATTTTACTGGCATTTTTCAATGCTAATTACTCATCAACTATGGGTTTCCAAGGTGTGATTTAGGGTTTGTGTGTTATTCTGAAAGTACTTAATTAGTTAAACCCCTTAAATTTCAATTCTGAGAAAAAAGTATATTTTGGCCAATAATTTTGTTAGGTGTAAGACAGGGGTGTCAAACTCATGGCCTGCGGGCCAAATGTGGCCCTTGGGATGGTCAGGTATGGCCCGCGGGATGACGGTAACATTTATCATCACGTGAAATTATGAAAGGAATAGATATAATCATGTTTATTAAGTAAAATTAATGTTACATACTTAAAATCAGACAAACCCAAATGAGGTATTCCTGGTAAGCCAGGTAAGGCAATGTGTGAAGCTGTAAACTTCAATCCTGCAAATATGTGATATAGCACTCGTGTTGGCCCTGAAGAGGGTAACTAAAATAAGAATTGGCCTCGAAAGGTTTTGAGTTTAACACCACTGCTCTAGATTCACCTTGCATTTTCTTCTTTAACCCTTGCATGATCTAGTTTCACCTTATGGTTCAGTTTGACCGTCCTTTATCTAGCTTCCCAATACATGCTGCACTTTCATCCTGCACCGTTTAGTTTCACAATTCACGCCCTAGTTTCACCCTTCTTTCTCCAGCTTCACCCTGCATGCTCCAGCTTCACCCTGCATGCTCCAGCTTCACCCTGCATGCTCCAGCTTCACCCTGCATGCTCCAGCTTCACCGTGCAGCCTCTGGTGTACCATTACCTGGTCGGGGTAAGCCAGAGGGGCGTCATTCCGTGTAAAAATTCATGAGCTGGTGATCCTGAGTGGGTGCTCGGCCGACTCCGCCCTCCTGAGGGGGTATTAAGTGTCGTAGCGGCAGACACAAGCAGAGGCAGAGGTGATAAGAAGATGGGGAGCAAGAGGAGACGAAAAAATTGGACGGAAAATATAAAGTAAATAGTGTGGGAAGAATAAGAAGAAAGATTAATGAAAAACAACTGATAGGAGAATTTAAGATTGTGGGATCAAGAAGAAATTGTATCTTAAAACACAGTATTACTGTCACACGACCTGTATAGTTTTACTCCCTAAATATTGAACTCCAGTGTATTAAGTGAGATGTGAGGTAAGATACAGGTGCAGTTTCCCTTCACTAATGCGATTACAGATCTCGTCATTTAAACATTCCACAAGTGAATTATCTTTGATATATTTGTTTTAATATTGTTTTAACTTGATTCCATAGTATGTTTACTATTGCGAGTTTCCTTCTATCGAATGTAAACAAACACAGCGGTGCCACACTGCACAAAATCTGACATGCCCCTGCAAACGCACTAGGACTGTACAGTGTACACGTTAGATATATATAGTAGACAAAGCCCTGTGCTGCCAGAGGTGAAGGTCGCAGGAATATGAGAATACTTTAAGTTACAGGGGTGGTGATGACCAGACAGTCGCAGCTACTTTTTACAATCCTAATCTTCCAAACTTTTTCATAAAAGGTCACCACTATCTTGCAGTCCTTCTAACGTATCAAAAGACTTTTACGCATAATACGTCTAAATGTTACATACCTGTGTGCCCCAATTCTAACATAAAGCTTTCTCTCTAAGGTTTAAAGCTCATCCCAACTACTGGAGAAAAAAGTTCTCACACCAGCTACTGGAGGAGAAATTTCTCACACCAGCTACTGGAGGAGGAAGTTCTCGCCCTAACTACTGGAGGAAGAAGTTCTCATCCCAACTACTGGAGGAGGAAGTTCTCACCCTTCTTTAACCTTAAGTTGTGACCCATAATAGGGCGGGCATTCGCCAGCTCCAAGTATAAACACATGACTGTGTAATGCCCTCTGTGATATTTATAGATTTTTATTACGTAACTCCTTGTCCGCCTGTGGTATAAACTTTATCAATTCCTTTGGCTCTATCACCTCTTGTGGCTGTATCACCACTTGTTAAGTAAATTATTGTTTCTCGGCTTTTTTTCATATTTTATATATTTTATTTGTGAAAGTTCCAATCCTGTTTTAGATTGAGAAAGTGTTCATCCATTGTCAGCACAGAAAGGCAGTAATAAACCTGGGAGTTGTATCTTCCTCTGCGTTGATGAACAGCAGACACCAAACTGTCTTAGCCATGATATGAATGTCTTTATCTGTTCATATTAGGTGGTGGAGGTGGAGGGGGCTTAGTTGGAGAGAGGGTTGGAGGTGGGTAGGTGGGCGGGGATAGGAGTGGAGAGGTGGATGGGGTAGAGGGCAGCACAAGTCATATAACCCTACATCGGCCTAAGGCAGGGGTGGGCAATTATTTTTGATGGAGGGGTCACTTCATGAATGGTGGCACACTTCGCGGGCCACACACTTAATATAGATGCAAATGTATTATATTAACACAAAGTAAAGCACCCACAGTGATTTACTTGCATATATATCTAAGACCATTTTTTTTCTTTTTTCTAATTATTAACATATTTAAGACAGAGCAGACTGCCAATGCGTGATGTTGACTTTATGTGAACAGAATCAGTCTCGCAGAGTGACGCAGATCTCCTCTGGCCGAGTGTCTTTTGAACATTAGTGTGTGAGGTTTGGTTTTTGACAGGTGTTGTATATTGTGAGGTACTGCCAGTGAAGTGATCAATATTCATGTAAAATAGATGTAATGAGAGTAAACCACTTTATAAATAGGTTAGACATCATTATCATATTTGTTTTGACAATTTGCATTTTAAAGTTTAAAAGAAAGTGAACACATAAAACGTAGGTGTTAAAGTAAGATGAGTTGTGCTTTTTGTTAATACTTTGTTAAAATTGGTCAAAATCAGTAAGTTTGTTTGAAAAAAAAAGGTAAGACAACGAAAATATATAAAATGTTGTTATGCCAAGGAATAATTTAGTATTATAATTTTAATAAACTTGGTGTTCTGATTATTTCCCCATTCCAAGCAGCAGTTATTTTGGCAACTTTTGCGAGATTTTCTTGTATATATTGATGTTTTACTTATGTAAGCCAAGATCATTCTAGAACCTTCTGGGCGTATCTCGTTTCGACCTGCAATGCCTAGATGGTACTAGAACGCTCTAGGCGTCTGACGAGAGGTATATGAGCGCCAGCGAGCTGTCCAGGAAAAAAATAAATACAAATGCTTAGGAAAGTAGTCGCCCGATTCTGTTCACAGAATGAAGTACAAGCCTAGTGACAGCTGAAGGTAATTGTTGTTCAAGTATTGTGGAATTGTTGTGAGTGATATAAAGTGAAAAGACTAAGGAATTGTACACTGGCAGTGGTGCTGACTGTATATATTCGAAGTCCATTGTGAGGACATACCCTGTGAACAGTTGTGTGAACACTTAGTGATTATTAAAGACGAATGCAATTCACAAGTGTGTTTTCTTTGACCTGGTATATTAAAATAGTAAAAATACTCAAGCAAAGATCAATGAAAGTGAAAATGGGTCCCATAGGCATGACAGCCCATTAAAAGTGTGGATACAACACACTGTATACTAAGCCTTCGGTACACAAGGAGGCAGCATGTCTAGTACTGCACTCGACCGCCTTCACTTCCTTAATTTGTGAACTAGAAGTGTCCGGGGATGGAACCACCAACCCCGGGAACAGTAGTTTAATCTAGAAAGCCTTTGTTGGCTCGTAACACCTAACTCTTCACATAATACAGAACACTACTATAAGCATATGTCTCTGCATATAATACAAGCAACCAAAAAACTATTTAAAAGAAGCTTCATTAATACTAATGTTCACCTCACTATTGTTTATACATCTTAGAAAGATTAAATTAAACCTAGGAGTTAATTTAAAATTGTTTCAGTCAACCAATACACCTATATACTTGGTCAATGAATCACTCAGCCAGAAAGTGAAAAATGCCTGATTTCAACGCCTGGTCCAGAACCTCCCTGGGTCAAGGAAGAGCCCGAGCTGAACAACAGCAAGTGTCACACGGCTCTTCAAGAACGGTCACAGGAGTGCACCAGAAAACTAACGACCTGTCAGTGTAGCTTTACATACCTGAAGCTCCTCCACAGCCGCCATCATCCATCACCGACCCGGGCACGATCTCATCAAGGCATCACATCATGGATCAGACGCGTACCCGAGGAAGGGAACAGGAAGGCTGGGGGGGTGGGTGTTGAGGTAGCGATGGGACCCCCCCCCCCCTTAAGAGATATCCAAAAATACAAAAATACTTTACTCCTCGAGGTATGGGAAGCCTTGGCATCACACCTGCCTGATCACGTCACTGTATCTCACTCAGATCAGTAACCGCTCTCTCGCTGATTCATATCGTGAATCCACACTACAGCTCCCACTATTATTTAAGACATACACTTTTTTTTTGGGGGGGGGGAGAAGGGATACTTCATTTATGATAGAATTTCATTGATATGTTTGTCTTAAATGCATGGAATATAAATCTGGTGAAGGAGGGAAGATAAATGAGTTTGAAAATTAGATATGATGCATCCCCTTCAGGTCTGTATTTTATGCATTAGGCATAACCTTGCCGTGATGGTCTCATCAAAATATATAACAGGTTAATGACTTGCGGAACTGTATGAATAACAAACAAGAACAGAGGGTGAGTCTTCATCTCTTCCTGATCACACCTCCTCGGCATAACTTTACACCGAGAGAACAGTTATTACTGTCCCAGCCCCAAGTGTAGACTACTGACGAACAACCTGGTTTCATTTGCCACGTTCAAGAAAGTCTAACGGCATTGTTAACACGATCAACGACCTGAATCATTTGTTGGACAACAGCGACATAATGACTGTTAAAATTGGAGAAAAGTTTTAAACGACTTTCAACAATACTGTTTTATTTGTTTGTAAGTTCAAATTTATAATTTCAAAAAGGTACAGTTAACGCCTAGCGTGACGTTTACGTAACGCCTGAAAAGGACTCCATGGTTTATGGAACATCAAACTGTATCGAAATCGTGTTGTTTTACTCAGTGCTGTGAGGAAAGAAACATTGCCCTCTCTAGCAGAAACTGAGTGTCGCGAAATGCCATCCCATTGGTCCTTATTGGTCTATAATTAATAACCTTCTTACTCACTTAAAGACCTTAGTTGTTGAAGCACAGCAACGTCAACGAGCTACCAAACACTTTTTCATAGTGTCGAACCCTGGGAACTTCTCCGGGGCCCTCTCAGGGGTGCCAGCGCCCCCAGGGGTGGCAGCGCCCCCAGGGGTCATCCCAGGGGAGGCAGTGACACCACGGGCCATCCAAGGGAGGCGGCGACGCGAGGGACAATGCCAGGTGCGGTAGCTACCCCAGGGGCCCTCGCAGGGGAGGCAGTAGTCCCAAAGGCCCTCGCAGGGGCGGGGGAAAGCCCAGGGGCCCTACCAGAGACGATCCTCCACGAGCCCTATAGCTTGCTTGGTCATGGTGTCGTACATATTGCATACTTCCAGCAATCCTTTACTTAACTGTGATTGGTGGACTAAAATGTAAATCTGCAAAATATCAGCCAATAGGAGAACAGAGCAGTCAGTCAGCACAACACCCCAACTTATGTTTTCCTGTTGGACATTTATTCTCCTTTACATTATTCATGTTAAGATGATACTGGGAATGTGATGGGTAGTGTATTTTTATTTAATGTCATATCTACCATTGTTCTAAATAGTGCAAAAACAACTGCCCCCAGGGACTCTATAGGGACAATGCCCCCTGGGGCCCACCCAGGGGTGTCGGCGTCAGGAGGAACCCACCCAGAGGCGGCAGTGGACCCAGCGGCCCTCCCAAGGGCGATGGTGCTCTCAGGGGCCCCCTCAGGGGTGACGGCGATCCCAGGGGCTCTCCTAGGAGCCTTTTCAGGTGCGGCTGAGACCCCAGGGGCTCTCGCAGGGACGGCGGTGGTCTCAAGGGCCCTCCCATTAGCGGGTGAGCCTCCAGGGGCCCTACCAGAGGCACCCCTCTAGAAGCCCTATAGCTTGCTTGGTCGTGGAGTCGTACATATTGCATACTTCCAGCAATTCTTTACTTAACTGTGATTGGTGAACTAAAATAAAAATCCGCCAACCAACAGCCAATAGGAGAACAGAGCAGTCAGTCAGCACAACACCCCAACTTATGTTGTCCTGTTGAATATTTATTCTCCTTTACATTGTTCATGGTGAGATGATACTGGGAATGTGATGGGTGGTGTATTTATTTAATGTCATATCTACCATTGTTCTAAATAGTGCAAAAACGACTGCCCCCTGGGACTCTAAAGGGACAATGCCCCCTGGGTCCCTCCCAGGGGTGTCGGTAACCTGAGGGACCCTCCCAAGTGTGTCGGCGTCCGAAGGAGCCCACCCAGGGGTGACGGCGGACCGAGCGACCCTCCAAGGGCCGGCGGTGCTCTCAGGGGCCCCCTCAGAGGTGAATGCAATCCCAGGGGCTCTCTTTGGGCCCCTCTCAGGTGCGGTGGAGACCCCATGGGCTCTCGCAGGGGAGGCTACAGTCTCAAGGGCCCTCCCAGGAGCGGGTGAGCCTCCAGGGGCCCTACCAGAGGTGCCCCTCCAGTAGCCCTATAGCGTGCTTGGTCATGGAGTCGTACATATTGCATACTTCCAGCAATCCTTTACTTAACTGTGATTGGTGGATTAAAATATAAAATCCGCCAACTAACAGCCAATAGGAGAACAGAGCAGTCAGTCAGCACAACACCCCAACTTATGTTTTCCTGTTGGATATTTATTCTCCTTTACATTGTTCATGGTGAGATGATACTGGAAATATGCTGGGCAGTGTATTTATTTAACGTCATATCTCCCATTGTTCTAAATAGTGTAAAAGCAACTGCCCCCAGGGGCTCTACAGGGAAAGAGCCCCCTGGGGCCCTCCCAGGGGTGTCGGTTCCCCTAGGAGCCCTCCGAGGGCCCTTCCCAAGGGAGGTGGCGCCCCAAAGGGCGTTCAAGGAACGGCGGCGGACCCAGGGTCCCTCCCAGGGGCAGCGGCGACCCCACGGGCCTTCCTAGGGGCAACGGTTACCCCTGGGGTCCTCCCAGGGGCGTCGGCGACCCCAGGGGCCATTTCTGGGGCTTTGGCGTCCCAATGGGCCATCCCAGGGGCACCAACACCCCCAGGAGCTCTCCCAGGGACCGCGGCGCTTCAAGGGCCCTCCAAGGGTGAGGGTGTTTGAGGGTGAGGGTGTGAGGGGGTAAGGGAGAGGGTGTGAGTGGGTAAGGGAGAGGGTATGAGGGGGTTAGGGTGAGGGTGTGAGGGGGTAAGGGAGAGGGTGTGAAGGGGTAAGGGAGAGGGTGTGAGGGGGTTAGGGTGAGGGTGAGGTTGTGAGGAAGGGTGTGATAGTGGGCGGGGAGACGACGATGATGCACGGGGCTAATGAGCATTAGGGTGTGTCATACGGAGGCGATTTTTTTTTTTTTTAGTTTGAAAAATCGGCCCATGGTATTAATGATGTAGTTCTATGTGCAGAATCATGTGATATCTTCAGATTTGAAAAGTTTTCATTTTCTGCTAGGTAAATTTTAACTTGAAATCTTATGAAAATTCAGTATTCCCACCCTTTTACCAACACCACTAAATAGCTTATTTAAAGTAAAGTAAATGTATCAGGTTAATTTATTAGGATGAAAATGATCCAGAATAGTGAAACGAATGATCTTGACACATTTATTAAATTTAATATTCCTTTAGAAAACAAAATCATCAAATACAAAAACCGGTTTTACTACTACGACCCGGTGTTGCTGCACACCATAGAGAACATGTCTTTCTTGCTTCTGTTTCTACTCATCACCTCCCTGCTGACCACCTGAGCTCGGATGTAGCCTTCCCTCCTCTCCTGGCTGTACACGTGACTGCTGGCCTCGCTCACTTGCTGTACACAA